AAGATTTTTTCCATTCTGTAGGTAGACAACCGGAATTTAAAGATTTTTTAAACAGAATAGTTAAGGGTATACTTAAAGTGTTTCTACATTGCTTCAAAAAAATTGGATGTATAGCGTCTGGTCCACTCCCCTTATTTGTTTTTAATTTAGTTAAGTATGATTTTACTTTGCTTTCTGATATATCCAATGTAGCTATAATTGTATCAGAGCTATTAACGTTAACATCTGGCGTGAATGGTGTATTATTCTTCTCAAAGACAGAATGAAAAAAATTATTGAACATATTGGCGATTGTTTGTCCATCTGAGCCAGTTTGTGAATCCAGATACATTGTATCTGGTATACCAATGTGTTCTTTTTTAGATTTAATAAAAGACCAAAAATGTTTAGAATTAATATAAATATTGTTTTCTGCTCGTTCCAAATACAAATTGTAACAAGATTTTTCTAAAAACTTTGTTTGTGCTCTAATTTCTGAGAACCTGTCATAATCACTCAACCTTCCATATATCTTCCATTTTCTATGCCATTTTAATTTTTTATTAATAAGACTAATTAAGTGACGTGAATACCAAATGGGATATTTATTTTCTACTGTTAATTTCGATGGAACATATTTTTCGATTAAATCGTTTATGATACTATAGAAAGCATCAACTGCTTCAGTAATATGTTTGTCATTTAGTTCTAGTTTCCAGTTAATTTTTGATAATTCTGCGTTAATAATGCTATAATCTGCTTTGTGATACTTGCGGACTATACGATGATTAAGACTAAGGTTTCTTTCTTTCTATTGAATGAATAGTAAGCCTTAGTAACAGCCCGGAGTTGGGAAGTTGGCGGTGTTTCACCCCCGTACCTCGGAAAGCACGTAAAGCCGTCGGTCCTGCGCCTTAACTCTCACTGGTCGTGTCGAATGGCCGTCCCACCAGAATATGAGAGTGACAGGAATAGAGAGTGCACTTGTGTGTGCGCGTACACTTGTGCACTATAATATCTCCTGCGCAGTTGGCTAGTCTCAATGAGATTGGCCGCCGTAGTCGGAATCAGCTAGGAGAACATTAAGTAAAAGAAAATGTAATAATGAAAGTGAAAACATTTATAAAATTTCAACAATGTTACTAATGTTTGATGGAATCTGATAATTTTGGAACTAAATAGTATTTACTAACAACTTTCGAATAAGCGCCATCTATTCAATATTCATAATATGTGAAATAGTATACCCCATACAATCTTTTCTACACCAATTTAAGTTAAAAACACAATTTTTGCTTACTTCCACTTTGATTAATCGATATACGTATAATCATATACGTTTAGTTCTCCATTTTAAACCAACCAAATGCAAAAATATTTCGTAGTTTATGTGTAAAATAGAGACAGGTTTGTATATAAGTACTCGTTATTATAATGGCTAACGTGTAAGGCTGTAAATTGAGTTTCTGTACTTCTGTATTTAACTAATTAAAAAAAAACATTTCTTATTTCGTCAAGAGTAGGTAAGTACCTACTAGTGTACTACCTATACGTATTATACATGGCATGACTAGATCAAGCGAGAAACTTTACTTTCTGTTGGCAAATTATTTACCTAATTGGCAAATTAGTGTTTCCGAGATCTTTACCGTGTTTTGTTAAACACAACATAAAACCTAGAAAATTACTTGCAAATATTTTTGTAATAGGCAGTTTATGTTATTTTATGCATTCTTTTAGATATTTTGCGCATATCTGAGAGTTGTGTAGTCTGTTATTGATAAAAAATACCAACCTACTATAATTTTTAATTTAATTTCTGATATTTAAGTAGAGAAGCCACGCGCTATACATAGTATGTGATTATGTTGTCACGTGTCGGTTTCCGAGGCAATTTAGTAATTAAAACTGTACCTAGTAAATTCATATTTAATTAAACCTTAAAGAGGTCGTTTAAGTATTAAACGATACTTATGTTAGAACTATCTATTGTCTTGATCTTAGTGACCATGATATATGTATGTAATATCACAGATCATATAATACTGTAATATGTAGATATAGGCTTTGCTTACTGAGTCGAAGATCGTGGATTCTATTTCTACAAAAGATATCGGCATCTTTTTGAAATTGGAATTTTGGAATTTCTTTCAAATTCATAGAGGTGTAGCAACACAGACTGTCTCCCTAAACTGTAACTATGGATGTAGCGAATTTTTGGCAGACTTTATAAAATAAGCGGTACTCAATTCGCATGTTCTTTTGTGTATCTAACAGGATATTTTTGTCAATTATTATGAACTAATTTTCATTACAATTTTATTTATTTCGCACATATCTAAGAAAATAGGTAAACTTAATATTAAAATATATCAACTAATTAGTATAATTACACAAATATATGCACATACTCGTACGAGTATATGTACATTACAAAGGAAGTATTATTACAAAAAATATATTTATACTCTAGAAAAACAAAAACAAATCAATTCCACGTGAACCGTACATTTTTCCGGGGTATAAGTAGCCTATGTGCTATGTGTCAGACTATAATCTATCTCTCTGTCAAATTTCATCCAAATCTGTTTAGCCGTTCTGGCGTGATTGAGTAAGAAATATCCAAACATCTAAACATCAATCTAAGCTTTCACATTTATAATATATTTAGTAAGATTCTATTTGACGTAATGTATTTATAATTAATAAAAGATGTGAAATATTTTTTTTATGAACAAAAAAAGATAAAGGGCAATCATTTTATAATTAATGTGTTTAGAATGCTAATACTATTATAAGGGATTGTTATTCAACTCATACCTATTATAATTAATAGCATACTACCTTTTATGGTCCACTTATTATTAACTAATCATATCACTACATACCGTAATATTATACATTAGCATTGCCCGCGCCTCCGCCCGCGTTCAGATGACCAAAAACCAAATTATTAGGTTTTACATATTAGTATACTCTTACATTGCAGTTTTTGTATTTTTTCTCAAAAATGAGACATTTTCCCGCTGTAAAAAGTGTCCTATATGTTAACCCGGATAACCAGCTATCACCATACCAAATTTCATCAAAATTCCTCCAGTGGTTTTTTGTGATGCGGTAACAGACAGACAGACAAAAATTATAAAAACTATAGATTTTGGCCTCTGTATCGAATATTGTGTCTATTTCAATAAGATTTTTCAAAAAATATTTAATGTACAGATTCGGCTTAGTTAGAATTTTATATAATAATATTATATGTATAGATAAAAGTTTGTGTTTGTTCGACCTAATCTCAGAAACTATTGTATGCGTGAAAACCGATATAATACAAACAGTATTGTTTCGGTTTTCACCAATATAAAAAACGGGTATGTATAAAAAACTTAAAAAGATTTTGAAATTAAAAAAAATAATAAAAACCGAATGAAAACTACCAATCTGCTATTTTTTACCTTTTGTGTTTTTTTGGGTTTTTTTAAGTTAAACTAAAATTCGCTTTTATAAGTAACATTAAATGTTCTGGCTCTAAAATCCAATTCTAAATACATAGCATCAAATCAAATAAAATAAGCCCAAATTCAAAGTATCTAATATTAGCCGTTGAAGAGTTCCACCTATCAACCTTCTGGAATTACCGTGTAATCAGGTCGACGATACCGAACCACTGCAGTATCAACGGAAATAGAAACACTTGCAAAGTTTCAAGGCAATATGACAATTAGAAGTAGGTTAAATTCATCAATACCTATTTTTCCAGGCGTGGTTTTTTTTTCAAATTAAAATGGGACCAACTTGAAAGTATACGCTTTCAAACAAAACAAAAATTGTCAAAATCGGTTAATAAATGAGGAAGTTCTGAGGTAACAAACATAGAAAAAAAAATCGTAAAATATACATCCGAATTGAAAACCTTCTTTTTGAAGAAGTCGGTTGATAAGCGACTGATACGAAAATCTTTTCTAACTAATATTATCTACATATGTACATAGTATATACATATGTAGGTATATATATAGAAGTTTTAAAGCTGGAGCTGTTTGTGTTTTTGTTTATTTAAAAGCTCTAATCTCGAGATTTACAAGTTTAGTAAAATTCAATTATGCTCACATCTATACTAATATACTAATAATATTATAAAGAGGTAAAGTTTGTGAGTTTGTGATTTTGTGAGTTTGTGACGTTGTCTTTTTATATCGGAAATCATCCCTTAAAGGGGTGAAAATGGGGATGAAATTTTGTATGGGGAATCAAGCTAGGGATAAACCCGAGCGAAGCGAGGGTCAGTCGCTAGTTAATAATAAAATAATTATTTGAATACTAATGAATTCGTTTCGCTCGGTGCTTCACGATGTATGTAGATAAATTTAAAAAGTAAAACCTCATCTAAATACATAATTTGACCCAAATCATTAGAGCCGTCACCGAGATACCTACACGAAATAAATTTACATAATAGGTATGTATACACAAAGAATGCTCATTTAATATTAGTACCTGGGCTACCGAGCTTCGCTCGGAGTTTTTGGCATAAATTACATTTTTTTTTAAAACAAAAAACATGAATAAATATAAAAAAAACAAAAGTAAAATTTATGTATGCGACCGAGATTCGAACCTCGACATTTGTGATTGTTGATCTTGCGTCTTGGCCGCTTCACCACGATGCTTATACCAGAGCGTGCAAATTACCGACCATATTTGGCGTGGAGTAATGCAAAAGAAAACTGCATGAAAACTCAAAAACACGCGTTTTCTCAGACATAAGACTAATTTAGATTGATTTATCGCCCCCGAAACCCCTCGCATGCTGAATTTCATGAAAATCGTTGGAGCCGTTTCCGAGATTCAGATTATATATATATTTATATACTCGTATATACAAGAATTGCTCGTTTAAATAGATAAGATAAAAAATATATTTTATAAGAACTAAGATCTCACGTACAAAATATAACCTAAGAAGGTAATTAATTAAAATAATAGCGCGTTTTAAACAATTAAAAGTTTCTGTTTCACAGATCTTGACCTCCTCATAACATTTCACAGCTGTGATAAAAGCATTGAGGTATCTAAGCAAGTTTTGGACTTGCATTACACGCTGCGAACTCTATTCACCGCTATATTCAAAGACCGAGTGATTGACCAGAGGATTATAAATACTTTGAATATGGTGTGAGTAAAAATTGTATTATATACTAGGGTAAGTGCCCTCGACTCGCTTGGGTGCGTCTTTTGGAAAGTTCCATCAAAATCGGTGTAGCCGTTTGGGCTATCAGCCGGAACAAACAGACAGATAGACATAAAAAATAAATAAAAGTAATTTTTTTCTTATAAGTACCTACCGTAGATACTTTCTAATGCATTTAAAAGCTGCAGTGAAAAGCTGTTATTTTGACATTTCAGACAGACATTTTAATAATTATATGTATAGAATATAGATGCATAGATAACTAGCTTATATCTTTTGCCGCTATAACAACAAATTAAAAAAATACAGGTAACATTTTTTGACGTTCGTAATCGACCCTTCGAGTGCGAATTCGACTCGCACCTGTTTATTCGTTTGCCCTCATTTCAATTCAATTGTCACAATATTATTAAGCCACTATAATTTTTGCCCTGTGCGGGAATCGAAGCCTACATAAATCCTTTTATCTATTAAAAGTGGAATAGAGAGAATACCTAAATAATACGTTACTTAATTTTTTAACCCCCAACGCAAAAACCACGGGGTGTTTTAAGTATGTTTGATAAAAATCGTTCCAAGATGGCTCCAATAATGGCGGATTACATATTTTTTCACAACTCCTTCAATATGGGTATCAAATGAAAGGGCTTGACTAGTAGAACACTATGATAAATTTCAAATCCAAGATGGCCACCATCACAAAATGGCGAATTACATTTCGGGGGTTCTTTAAAGTTTTAATTTAATTTAGTTATCATTGGTTTCAGTCTCATGGCGCCTCTCCCGATACTGACTGTGCATGGGTACACAGCAGTCTATTGCCGTCTTCTCGATAGTGATGTGAAGAAATTCATTTTCTCCGATATTGTTCGTACTGCTATGATAATCTTGGATTTATGGCAATATGAAGAAGGAACTTGGCCTGGGTATGGTTTTAATATATAAATAGCCAAAGAAAAAACAGTTCAATACCTTTTTCTCCTCTGTTTGTCCACCGGTTTTTTTGATTTACTATTAACGAGCTTTTATTTATCATTAAAAAAAATGGAAACAGTTTTTTTCTATATAGATAGGTAAATTCTATGCCTATTTTATATTGTTATATTCCAATTTCGACCATTCGGCGAACACTAGCAATATAAAATATTATTAGGCAATTATTTCCTTCCATAACAGAATTTGGTTGAGGAAGATATCTTTATTCTGCATAGGTTGCTTAACAGGACGTGTCTATATAGATATGGTCTTAATCTTAATCGCTAGTTACTTTTACAAGTAACTCCTTCACCCTCATTTTTAAATGAATATTTATTACTGTGGGATGAATGTGCAGAAATTAAATAAAAGCTATTACGACTAATGAGTGAAGTGTGAATGAAAGAAAGAATGAGTGAAAGGAACAGAGTGTGTTCAGGCCGGTGTGTTGAATGATGAAGTATTAGTTTTAAAGAAGGATGCAATTTGCAAACTACAAAAACGTAATAATATATTGAAAAAATATTAAACGTATTACGGTCATTGCGTTATGGTGGTTCTCTTGCTGCTATACTAAATATCACATTAGGTACAATAATTTTATAAAAGGTATTATATTTTGATTTGTTTTAATTTAATTGCGGTATCTGCCACAGCCCCAAGGAGGTTTTACTTCAACCACGCGTAAAGATTACGCACATTTTTTTATTTGAGATATTATTGTATTACATATTTACAGACCTCAGGTTTCTTAAATATTAAATGCCTAAAATTAGGATTTTATTTGATTTTATTTTAGTTTCGTAATTATGATAGACATGGACGGTACAAGTATTGGACACGTTACTAAATTGGATGTGATGACGGTACGACAACTCCTTTACTTTCTTCAGGTAATTATGTTATAATGCGTATCTTAGATATTCCCTTAAACAAATAACCGTTAAATCAGTAAACAACAGTGTTTGTAGGAAGCAGTTCTTCGGTGAATCAATAATAATCATCTACCGAGATTGTCTAACTTGTTTGTCGGGCAAATGTCTATTCCATAAAGATACAAACAATGAATGAAATTTTTTTGGAACTAAAATAATTAACCAATGTTACCAAGCCGAAAATTAAACTTCTTGAATGCGCATTTTATATGGACGAAGCGGCAGTCATTTACTGATTTTATGATCCAATCATAAAGTTCATTTTTATAAAAATAAACAATTTAAAACTAAATTATCCTTCGGATATTGTCTCTCTTCTCTTCTTCCAACCTCAGTCTCTTCCAAGACCATATTTACTGTAAATCGCGTATAAATCATATATAAAATAAAATCGCGACAAAATGCGATATGATAATTTCATTTTATATTCGCTTAAATCTAAAAAAAATAACAAGCTAACGAACCACAGCTTGTTTTACTTAAGTTTACCTATATATAATTTAATTCAATGTTTTTTTTTTAAATTATTTTGTTGAACTATTCAATTTTAATATCTTCAGGAATGCATGTTAATAAGATTAAAGGAAATCCACTTCTTAAATGCTCCTTCTTTCATGGAAAAACTAATGATGTTATTGAGACCATTCATGAAAAAGGAACTACTGGATATGATCAAAATACACGAACCCGGCTCAAAAAAAATATTTAAATACGTGCCTTTGAAAGCTTTTCCGAAGGAGTTTGGTGGAGAATACAAGGACAGGATAACGTTAAGGGGTAATCTTAATAATTTTATGTTTAAATTCAAGACAGAAATAAATCTTGCTATATATGGTCTTCGGAATTAATAATATAATTGTGAAAGTAACTCGGTCGGTTTGTTTGTTACTGTTTCACGCATTCTGTTTTCATATAATTTTGATAATAGAATACGATGCATTCCGGGGACTTACCATACAAGAAAACCCCAGTATTTTTTAGATGTTATACCGTATACGTTATTATTATATTATATTCTTGAATAAAAAAACTAAAATATTTCACATTCATCATCAATTTTCATCAATAAATATTCTACAATTTAGTGACAGTTACTCCTTTATATTTATCATTTGTGATGTGGATATTGTAATGTTTTGACTTGGCAAATTTTAGTATAATTAAATAAACCTCACAACACAACGCTCAGTTTGTAGTGACCCTACTTGCTATGCCAGTGTCGCGGGTTCGAGTCCCGCCGAGAGCATTCATTTGTGTAATAAGCACGAATGTTTGTACTCCAGTCATGGGTGTTTATTTTTTATTATTATTAACTAGCGACTCACCCTCGCTTCGCTCGGGTTCGTCCTTAGGTACGTATTGATCTTTCAATAAATTAATACCATACCTCCTTTATTCTAGAGACCGTCAAAAATGTATATCATTTGAATTATTAAACATTTATGGAAGTTTCAAATATACGAAAAACAAACTAATTTAAACGATTAGTTACTTCGATGTAAATGATAATATTAATATTCATTTTCAGACGAAATTATTTGTCGTATCGAAAGTAATAAGGAATTTTATAAAGACGAAAACCTTCGTCGAGTTAACGAAGCCCTGCGACCTGGTGGACAGAAAACGACGGTTGAAGATTTGTTTGGTATACAGGGCAGTTTTAAGAAGTTGGATATTGATTGATTTATACACATAAATTATTTTTATATAAATTTTACTACAGTTAGCCAAAATAGAGCAATTGCTTATTGAATGTAAGATATTTAATAAAACTTCAAGATATTGTTTGTTTTTTATTTTTTTTTATTTCATCAGGATTTCATAGGATCCACCATTTCACCATTGCAGCCATTTTAAGACTAAGTAGCAAGGTGGCGTTGTGGTAGGTTGCATCTCCTGCTTTATATCGTTATAAAAATAAATTAATATGAAAAAACATTTTTAAAACAAGTTTTTACATCATATAAATTGTGTTATATATAAGTTTGATTTAATTCAAAGTTTATTTTTTATGTATTTATTCGTATTCTCAGCAAACCCTTTCTTCATTTGATATTCATATCATGGGGGTCCATTAAAAAAACATATTCCGTATATAACATCGTTGGGAGTCCGCCCTGTTGTATTTAGAATGACATCACTTATCTCTAACCATGCATTGTCATCCAAACTAAACGTGTATGCAAAATTTCAGCCCAATCGGTTGAGGATAACTGCTTTAAAATTAATTTGCAAGATTTGACTCCATAAATCATATATACAAACATTGCAAGTCAGAGAATGAAATTATCAAGATAAATATATCTATAGATAATTATTGCGATAATTATCAGATAGCTATCCGATAATTATCAAACACATATAAACTTAGCAATCCTTGTGTAGGTATCGGTATTTGACTACTTGCCTATCATAATTTACGTTAAAATAAAATTATACACTTTTAACAATCAAGGTAACTTTTTATATATATTTTTTCATAATTTTGATATACCTACATACTTAAAAACAAAAACAGAATAAAAACTGACTAATTAGGCACTATTTGATTAAATTAATGAGTGGAATATTATCCTCATCCTCAATTCTCAGTTTGCTAATTGAGTTTTTTGAGCTGATTGAGAGAGTTCAGTTTGCTGATCGACAGTCTGAAGAGTTGCAAATTAAATACTTTCGATTTTATTTATCAAAGATAATTATCAATGATAATAATGATTGCTTCGAACCCTGTTGCAAGTTAAATAAAAGCTTATAAAATAAGTATTTGTCCCTGTATAAGAATTGAATTTTTAGGGTTCTGTGGGCTAAAATAATTGTATAGAGAGAAGAAAATTCATAAAAAATATCTTTCAGAGTGGTCCTCTAACTTTTTTCGAATTATGGAGTGACTGATTTTAAAATAAATAGAGATAATAAAGCTTCCAAAATACTCTCAATTAAAAATATTTTAAAGATACGTTGATTAGTTTTTGAGATATGAAATATTCTACGGTTCACGCGTTCCGCAAAAAATTGTTTTGCATAGTAGGTAATACTATGAAGTAAAAAATTAATTATGTAGTATTTAAGTAATTTTATTTTATAAGGCAGTGGTAGTCTAGTGGTAAGGCGCTCGCTTGGGAAACCGAGAGAAGCGGGTTCAAATCCCAGGTCTCGCACCTCTGATGTTTCCATATGCGAATCGTTTCCAACATGGTTACCACTTGTCTTACGGTAAAGGAAAACATCGTGGGAAAACCAGCATGTCTGAGAGAACTTTACAAGTTTTCGAAAGTCATGTGCTGTCCACCAACCCGCACTTGGCCAGCGTGGTGGACTATGGTCTGATTCCCCTCGCATTAAAGGGAGGCCCGTATCCAGCTGTGGGACGTTAAAAAGAAATGAAAACAATTTTATTTAAAACATAACAAATCGCCATGTGAATTCGAATCTCAATATTTCAGAAAGATATCATATTTTTATATTCATACGAAATACATAATTCCAGTAGTGTAATATGGATATAAAATAAATTAAAGAAATTTTCTAATTACCAAAGAATCTCATCAAAATTCGAGAGCAAAAATACGCTGGTTTCCTCGAAATTTGCACCAGTATCATGAAAATTAAACATAACAATAAAGTGAAAAATGGCGTTCTCAAATAACTAACCTTATACACAATTACACAAAACATATACGGTCTATCGCCTCATAAAATTATTTTCACCGGAAAATCTATTGTTAAACATGACATCATATGAAATTAATTCATGATAGGTAATTTATTTTCCAAATACATAAAAATAAGGTCTATTTTCATATGATTTTATTTGGGTTTTTAGTTAATGTGGCAGGTTGTACGTCGCATTTTTTTACCATATATATAAGCTTATGATGATTAAAGCTAAACAGTTGAATTTTTGTACAACTGAAAATGAAGTTCCTAGCTTTGTTTTTGACGATCATGGCTCTCGTATTTTCTATTGTGGTACGTGTTTTTATTTTTATACTTAAAAGATTTTCATATATAGACAAATATTTTCGGTTCGAAGTTTTCGAGTACTTAAATTTAAGCTTAAAGATCTTTTTGCTTGTTTGATGATTTGATTAGAAAAATCAATTTGCATTTTATTGACTATTTATTGTAAAAAGCTCAAAGCTATTTTATATCAGCGCATGGCAATTTAAAATAAGTAAACTACTGCAGCAAAAAAACGTTGGTTTAAAATAAAAATGTTACGTCCTTATGTACCAAAGCATGAATTTTGTGTTACCTAATTTTGATGCTATACATATATTTCGTATTTATGTGTTTATTAAATGTTTACAATGAGATGAGGAAAATGTAATATTAACGGTTAGTATAGGTTTCTCAGAGATGAGATAGTTTCCCATAGTAAAAAGTATCGTATATGTTGACCCAAATAACCAGCTATCATCATATCAAATTTCATGAAAATCTGTCCAGTGGTTTTCTCGTGATGCGTTCCCAGACAGACAAACAGATAAAAATGCTAAAAACTTTAGCTTCGGCTTCTGTATCAATAATAATGACTATTTCAATAAGAATTTACAAAAATTATTTAATGTACGGATTCGACTCAGAATTTTATTATATGTACTTATAGATTGATTCGCCGTAATTTCTTAACAATGAATATGAATATAAAAAAAAAAAATTTAGTCACATCGTACACAAATACTACCTAATAATTTATTGGGGCTTGTTTGAAGTTATGCAACAGTTGTATAAGTAAACTTTTTATTTATTTTACTAGAATGGTTTGAGCACTATGAAAAAAGCGGAGATCAAAGGAAATCGCAACTTAGCTGGAGACCATGGCGGCCCTCGGGGCCCCCATCCCCATCCTCCCATGACCACTAGTCAGTATCTAATATCTATATATACATACGTATATATGTATATTTATATATATATATATATATATATATATATATATATATATATATATATATGCTAGAGCTACATTTTCTAGTACCTACATTGTTTTGATGTAAATCTAAGGTTTAGCCAGCGTTAGACATGTTGTCGTACAAAAATAGTTTTTCTGATAAAACACCGCCATCTGTTAGTCAAAGCCGCATCAAAATACACATTACGTGGCTTAGAAGAAGTAAGCGGAGAGACAGACAGAAATAAACGGCACCTTTGTTTTATACTAATATATATATATATATATATATATATATATATATATATATATATATATATATATATATATATATATATATATATGTATATATACATAGATGAACGACTTATGCTCTAAATTTTTCACTTTCCTATGAAAATGGGAGATTTTATCACATAAAATTATTAGATACGTTAATTTTGAACTGTGCAACTAAGTTAATCATTGATATTTTTGTATTAAGCACAACTCGGTCGTTGACAAGTTATTGTGTTTTCCCGCGGGAATGATAGATTTTCCTGACTAAAAGGTATTTTTAATGTTGACCCACAAAATTTACTTAAAATTCGTTCGGTTAATTTTTAGCGTGAAAAGCAGATAGATAAACAGGTAAAAATTTCAACACCTAATTATTTGGGGTATAAATATATTTAGTACACTATAGGTACGTAACAGTCATTGTACATATAATATATTTTATGTACAGATTTCGCTTTGTTACCATTTTATTATATGTATGGATAAATAATAACTTGAGAATAATAATTTAATCGTTTTAACTTAAAACTTTAAATATGGCAACTCGCATTTGGCGAGGTGACGTAGTATTACTATTAAAGGACATAAGTTCTTATTATGTTGTACATACTTAAAAAAAATCTTGTAGATATAATTGAAATAATCATCTACACTGTATTTTATATTAAATACTTATTATATTTGTTTTGTATTACAGACACCACAAGTAGTTAAACGGAGATCAACACAGAATATGCTGCGCATGTTTTAAGGATTTTGGATTGCACAATAAAAATTTGACTCAGTACTTTTGTTTTATTGTCATTTAGATTTTCGAGTCAATTTTGATGCCAAATCAGAAAAAAATAGCATATATGCTCCAAAATATCTAATTAATATAGGTTTTGATCTAACCTAGTTTAAAGTGCTCTAAGCATTGAGATACTGGAAACTTAAATTCCTTGACATTTTTCTTCTACATAAATTACAATGTATAAGAACAATTTTCAAGGACAAACAGAGAATTGAATGTAAATAGCATTTACTTTAAAATGTTACTTCAGACAATATTAATAAATTATTTTCCATACTAACTAATTATATTTTGATGAACTTTACTTGGTTAAGGTAAAGGCACCTAATTCCGTGGTATTTTCACCATAACTTAAAAGAATTTTAAAAATTCAGTATTTTCTATACTTTTCTGTAGAATTGGCTATTTGTATAGGATGTATTATTATTCTTACTCTTGAAATATACTCACAGTTTGGCAATTGAAAAATTATATAACATCTTAAATTATGTAAAAATATGAAGAATCCTAGGCACCTTATTTTGATGTAAAAATCCTAATTCCGATGCATTTGGTTCCTAATTCGGAGTGTACAAATACAAAGGAAAGGGGGTTGGAAGAATGATACATAATTAATATTTTGGTTTTTAAATCAGTCTTAGTAAGTATATATCTTATATGGTTAATAAAATGACATCACAATATGTAATTTACTTAGTAAATAAAATTATTTAA